TTCCGATTTTTCATATGCTATAAATTACTAATGTAAGTCACTTTATAAATTCGTTTATACTTAGCTTTTTAGGCAATGCTACAATTAATTTGGCCATATGATGAAGAAGCCATTTACAAAATGAATTATCACTTTTACCTGATTAGGAAATTAAGATCTTTATGTACTGCTCTTTAAAGGGGAAATGGCCACAAAATACTACCATATTGATTTTTATTACAAATATCTTCAAAGAATTGAAATGCATTTTATAAATATGAGCTAATCACCATTTCTATAAAAGAATTTTTTAAAAAACTCTTTTTCATAGGAAAGGAAGTTGAGGCATAAGGTTTTCATGATTCATTTCCATTCCTAAGAAGACTGTAAAAAGTTAAAGCTGCACCAAGTATCATGGGAAATCCAGACACCTAATGATACACTTAACATGATGGATCCCCCCAGAGCCCAAGGAAGAAATCACAAGTGATCTTGGGCCTGGGGAAAAAGGATGACAGCTAAGGAGCCATATGAGATCACTGCAAATGACACTCAGTAGCTACAGTCCTGAGACCAAAGCAATGTGGTAAACACCAGGGCCACAGAGAGAAACAAAACCAGCATGGGCAATGCAGCTGGCCAAGCTCCACTGGCCCCTGCTGACCCATCACATTTCATTGGGAATCTGGTGTGGAATGGTCTCCATCAATAATGGGGCCACTAGCATATGGCTGTAGCTGAGTGATGGTAGGAGACCCCCTGGGAGGAAAAGCTCTATCAATGGTGAGCAACGGCTTCTCTTAAAACTGTAGCCACAGCCTCAGTGTTGTTCTCGGAACTTGTAGATTTAGGCCACAACAGCTCCACTTGATTCCCATGAAGTTCAGATGAAAGGGACACTGTACTTGATGTCCTGTGAAATATATTACCTGTCTACTAATTGCCATTTCCAGTTCAGGGTAACCGGCCTTGTCCAGAAGAATATTTGGGAAGAGATCTTCAATCAAACTCAAAAATAAGGGTTCATCCTCATCAACCTCAGAAAGAAAATAAAGGGAGATCAGACCAAATCTTTTGGCATAAACATGGCAATATCAGATAAACTGAAAATGTCCAATACAGCCCAGATTACTTTGTCACAAACAGTAATAAATAAAATATCACCTCCACTGAAGTTGAGACATATTTTCATCATGTTTACTAAATTAAAAATTAGTTTTTAAAAAAGGGGTGTGGGGGGAGAAGAGAAAAAAAAAGGAAGGAAATAGAAGGAAAGAAAATATTGCCTACATGACAACCTTTCCATAAAACCACCAGATTGCAGAGTTTACTAAATAACCTACAATTTCTCATTTAACTTAAAAATAATTTTTTAAAATGAGAATGGTGGCAAATTCATGAATTGGAATTTGGTTCATACTCTTATTTTGAAATAAAAATATATCATTCTGTCATCCTGTACATGGATCCACTGATGCTGGACAACTGATTGTTCAGTCTCTACTGTGAAATCAAAGAATGTGAAATTATTACACACATGTAAAATTCACATACAATTTCCTTCCAAGTTCTACGTTCACAAAGGTAAAAGGGATTTTAGCTCTACAGCACAAAAATTTCAAGGTATTTGGAAATGTAAGACGTGGATTTTTAAAAATCCATTTTAATTCTATTGGAATAGACATGTTAGACTAGAGATGAGCCACCACAAAAATTGCTCCTGAAAAAATGTAATTGAAAGTTATGCTCTATGTAATTTAAATTTATGTTATGCTCTATGTATTTATCTGATAATTAAGCATTTTAAATGAGCACTTTAAATAAATATTTCTAATCGCATTTGTGCTTAGTTAAACTGAAATTTAAGTGGGTGGAACATTTCCATCTGTGAATCTTACCAGTTTGGAAAGATTCATATCTCGTAGTACACGCATGACAATTGTGGACTCCGTATCCGTGGGGTTGGCTCTTTTGGCTGCTCCCAGAGTTCGCAGAACAGACAGAATATTACGCAGACCAAAGTCATAATGTACCTGAAGAATATGAGGTACACCGGGCTTATTTTCAATATTAACTTACCCATAGAAACTGTACAAATTTGACAAAGACATAATGAATAAATGCTGATTTTCCTTTAGAAAATTTGTACAGTTAGTGGGGCAAAAAATTTTTTTTATCAACAGATTCTTTTTTTTAGCAAATGGAAAATACCCAAAAGAATCCTCTCCTGTACCATCATTAATTTAGGCCCTTAGATCAGAACTAATAGATCTTGACAGAGAGAAAGGAATAAATTTCCTCCTGGAGATACATGTCCCATTGAGCCCTTCTTAACGAATCATCCATAAGAAAATTTCCTCATATCTTGAAAGCTTAAATTCTGAACCAGAATTAAACTGAGACCTCACTCATGAACATCATATAAGTTTAAAAGACAGGGGTATTGAGGAGAAAGAAAAGTAGCTACATTCCAGGATTACCTAGAGGGGGAAACAATAAGGACAAATCAGAAAGTCAAGCCCCCAGCTTTGTTGTCCCTTTGATAGGTATTTATAAAAGCTCAATCATGCCAAATTTCAGCACATATAAAGTGAATAATTAAAAACCAATTATCCAACCACTATAGGAAAGAGTATCCCTGGCAGTTGGTCAAACAATTTAAAATAGAACTACCATATCATACAGCAATCCCACTTCAGGGAATACATTCAAAAGAATTGAAAGCAGAGTCTCAAAAAGATATTTAAACACTCACGTTCATAGGAACACTATTCACAATAGCCAGGAGGTGGAAGCAACCCAAATGCCCATCGACTGATGAACGGATAAACAAAACATGGCATACATTTAAAAATAAGAATGTTTTTCAACCAGGAAAAGGAAGCAAGTATAATACTATCACATGCTACACCATGGATGAAACTTGAGAACATTATACTAAATTAAATAAGCCAGTCACAAAAAGACAAATACTGTATGGTTCCACTTATATGAGCTTTCTAAAGTAGCCAAATACATGGAAACACAAAGTAAAATTGTGGTTACCAGGGAATGGGGGGAAGGGAAGAGTGGAGTTGTTTAATGGGTATAGAGTTTCAGTTTTGCAAGACAAAAAAGTTATGGAGATCTGTTCCACAACAATGTGCATTTACTTAACACTACCGAACTATATGCTTAAACATGGTTAAGTGATAAATTTAATATTTTTTCATCATAATTCTAAAAACCTATAGAAAAAAAAAAAAAAACATTATCTGCTAATTGGGAGCAGTATGCATCACTTAATACCAATCGTTTGGAGGATAGAGCACATAAAAATATTCAGACCGAGTTCCTGCCTTCAAGGAGTTTAAATTCTAATTGTGGCAATAAAATAAAAATATGAGCAAGCTTGCATAAAAGTACAGTAACAATGACTTGAAAGTACTGGTGAGTGGAATTAATTAAGGAAAACTTATCAGCATTAGACTCTGTTAAATCTATGGGCATGAAGTGAGATTCACAGAATGCTCACCAAGGGATCAGCATGGGGCCAACTGTTTTGTACACATGGACTCATTTCATTTCCCTTGTGACCTTGTGACCTTGTGAACAAGGGCAATAGGAGTGAAGGAGGAGAAATGAAATTAGAGAGGAAGAGGGCAGGAGTCAGTGATGTGGGAGCTTCTCTACCTGCAAGAAACAGCAGGGAAAAGGGAAGAATCAGTGAGTAAAGGCTGCAATAATCAGAAGAAACCAAGAATGTTTTGAGTGAGAATGGAATATAGTTGAACCTGTGGGTATAACCTAGCTTCAAAGCAGTTTGGATTGAGAGGTTCCTCAAAACCATGAGGACACATGACATATATTATGATGAATGAACAGGTGAGATAAAAAGCAAACATCAATATTCATAATTCTTTGGCTCTTAAGTCAGTTCAGACAGTGTAAACTTTATTTCTATGCCTTAAATGCTAATTTCTTCAAATGTACTTAGTAAAACTATGCACGTAAAATTGTTTTTGCCATGATACAACTTTCTACTTTGTATGTATGAGGTACCTTGTCAACAACCGCAGCCCACAATTTTTTTTTAATTTTTATTTTAGATTAGAGTATAGCTGATTTACAATATTGTGTTAGTTTCAGGTGTACAGCAAAGTGATTCAGTTACACATATACATATGTGTATTCTTTTTAAGATTCTTTTCCAGTATAGGTTATTACAGAATACTAAGTACAGTTCCCTGTGCCATACAGTAAGTCTTTGTTGTATACCTATTTTATATATAGTAGTATGTATATGTTAATCCCAAACTCCTCATTTACCCCTCCCCCTGCCTCCCCTTTTGGTAACCATAGGCTTGTTTTCTATATCTGTGAGTCTATTTCTGTTTTGTAAATAAGTTCCTTTGTATCATTTTTTTAGATTCCACATGTAATTGATATCATATGGTATTTGTCTTTCTCTGCCTGACTTCACTTAGTCTGATCATCTCTAGGTCCATCCATGTTGCTGCAAATGGCACTATTTCATTCTTTTTTATGGCTGAGTAATATTCCACTGTATATATGTACCACATCTTCTTTATCCATTCATCTTTTGATGGACATTTAGGTTGCTTCCATGTCTTGGCTATTGTAAGCAGTGCTGCAATGAATACTGGGGTGCATGTATCTTTTCGAATTACAGTTTTGTCTGGATATATGCCCAGGAGAGGGATTGCTGTGTCATATGGTAGTTCTATTTTTAGTTTTCTGAGGAACCTCTATACTGTTTTCCACAGTGGCTGCACCAACTTACATTACCCCCCAACAGTGTAGATGGATTCCCTTTTCTCCACACCCTCTCCAGCACTGAATAAAAAATTTAAATATGCCTAAGTACATAGGGACCTTCAGAATGTCACACCTGCTTAGAAAGCTGCTCCTCACACAGCTTGTAGAGCGTGAAAAACTTCCTGGCCAAAACAATGTTATCAGTGAAGCCGCAACTAGCCAACTTCACCCTGATGATAATCTGTCGGTCAGGCACCATCATGGCCACGGAGCGGAAGTTAATCTTCAAGTTTTCAGGGAGTTCCTGCCGCCCAGCATAGCCAGGATTCTATACAGAAAATAAAAGCCAAGGATGAATGATACGGTCATGGGGTAACAAGCGCAACACATCAGCATGATATTAAAAGATTCATTATGCACACACAACAAATCTGGAATGACAACCAGAAAATTCATTTACATATCTCACTCTTCTTTTAACTGGAGAGACTAAGTCATGAGTTATTAATATGAGCTCTGTTTAACACCAAAGGTTTTCAAACAGGAGTGAAAATTACAATCTCAATTTCCATTCATGGAAAATAAGTGACATATGAACAGGGACATGTGTGAAAACTGTGATAAGAAGGCTGAAGTTCAGTAGCTCTTCTTGTGGTTCCTTACCATAGTTAGAAAAAGCCCAAATTCAGGGTTCATAGTCACATTATCTCCATCAGTAAAAATAAAAGATTTTTTACGCTCCTTTTTACATGTCAGAATAATGGAAATCTGCTGGGCTGCAACGGAGAGAACTGGTAGGTCGATACGATTAAATTCATCAAAACAACCCCAGGATCCAGACTGAGCCAGTCCTTAGAACGGAAATTGAATAGAAAATCCAATTAGTACATAATTTTGGAAAGTCAAAGAAAAAGAGCATTATGCAATTGCCAGGTCAAGCCACAGATAAGTTTGCTCAAACATAAAAGTTGAACAAATAGATCACACATTGAATGCCTCCAAAATAACTCACAATGTGACCCTTTATCTGTAAACACCCAACCTGCAGGGATAAAGGAACATTACAAAGGCAAGTGATATTGACATTTGACCCACACAACACTGGTAAGATTCAGGTTTCCCAAAAAGTTTTACAAAGTTGGAAAATGACACTAAGATGTAGCCAATTGTTGAAAAATAAATCTTAACAAGATATTCCACCTTAGCTTAAATTTCTCATGAAATAAAAATATATAACCCTCACCTTTAAAAATCCGTCCAAGTCCTCGGAAATCCATCTGGTCTGAACAATTGAAAACCACGACATATTTCCCAAGACATCGTCCCATATCTTTGGTCGTTTCTGTTTTGCCTGTTCCTGCTGGTCCAGTGGGAGCTCCCCCCATGCTCATTCCCAGAGCTTGAGCCAACGTGATATAACACCTGGAGGGGTAGAGAAATCACTAGAACCACACCACTGGCATATGGAAGATACTGCTGAGACATCGCAGTGACATGATACAGGCACAAAATTGAAAAAAGGAAGAGCCTGACCATTATCCCTACATAACCTTTCCAAAACTGCATCTTAAAATACACTTATCCTTATGGATATTAACATGTGTTGAGGAAAAAGGAAGGAGGGAGTGGTCCATGGTCACATACGTTTGAAAACTCTTACAAAGGTTCAACAGGATTTTTTATGACAATGTGTATTCACAATCTTCAATTATGAAAAAGAGTACATAGAATTTCCAAAACTTATTTGGCAACTTTTTCACAGAAATCTACCAACATCTAAAGAAGGGTATTCTAGGAAACAGACTGGGGGCCATTATGTAGATTAATCCCCTTTTGAATCTAAGAGTCGATGATTTGATAAACTTGGAAACCAATGATCACATGAGATTTAAATCACACATTGCTAAATAATCACACCTTAAATCTATTTCTGGGAGCATCTACTAAACTTGCAAATACCTTCTACTGTATCTTACAGTATGATATCAACAAATAAAAGATTCTGGTGAGAGAATACAAGAATGCCTGTGAAGGAAAACAACCTATAACTTGCTGATGAATTGCTCAATTTCCCAGCATCACCCAGTGCCGTAAAAGGAGGTAATCTACAATATAATGCAGTTTAGGGCTTACTTACAGCTAAACTCTAAAGCATTCATCTGGACTTGAAAAAAATTTTTGAAGAAAATAAAGTGATTATCCAGCAATGAAGTGTGGGAATGAGAAGTGAGCACACCCATCCCAGAAGCGTCTAGATTCTCAATTTTATTGGGTTTGGGTTCCCCAAAAGGCAGGAAAATGACTCAGCCCCGAATGCAAAAAATGAGCCTGGATTCAAAGAAGGAGATGTGGGTATAAAATCAGAAGGATGTCTGATCTCACTTTGATTCTGCCTTTTAACCCAAGGTCTTATCTTTCCTCTTGAACTCTTGTTATCCCTTGCACAGCAGTCTCCGTAATAACAGCTAACATGCCATAATAGCTCCACCTACACTATGGCACTTAAACCCCACTGAACCCTGCAGGGAAGCCACTTATTTTCACCATTTTACAGATGAGGAGAGAGGCTCACAGAGATGGAATAGTTTTTCTCAGGGTCATGGTGGAGGGAGCAGAGATTTCAGCCAGTCTGTGTGGCCACAAGCTCTCACGCTGCCCAGCTCTAGGACACATCCACACTCTCACGGTAAGGAATAAATCTCCAGGAACTCTGGCCACCCAGTTGCTCTGTCTTGCAAATCCTCCTTTTCATGGGATCATTTGGGTTTATATTTAAACTGAAGAAGTAACAAGTTGTTAAGCTGCCAGAAAGAAATCATGCTATTTACATGAAGAAAGGGCAGCCATGCCCGGTGATTTATCCCTCACTTTCTCCAATAGGTGGGACTTCAGTCCTGTTGATACCAAGCAGGACCCTGTGCGGCTCCTGGGCACAAAAGCCGTTCTGTGTCCCCTATTTCTTGATTACAGGAAACAGGCTTCATTCAGCCTCCAAGACCTTCCTTGAGTTCCAAGGAGCAGGTTCAAACAGTTGCTAATTAGGGAAGAGGGGGGATGTGAGACAAGGGAGGAACAGTCAAAAGAAACAACAGCACAGCCTTGGAGCAGGGTCCTGGTTCCCCACCACAGGATATTCATAACGATATCTTTGAGCTGTTTTGCCGATACTGAAACCCCCTGCCAGGTGGGAGAAGTTAACTGCATGCTGCCCACAAGCACACAGACCCCAGACCAGTTGAAACCAGAAGGTTGATGATGCCGACTCCCACTTAGCTCCCCACCGATCAATCAGAAGAATGTCCACAGGCTGATCACGCCCTCTCTGAACCATTACTATAAAACTCCTCACTACCCCCTCCAGATCGGGACACACAGTTTTGAGGTTATTAGCCCGCTGTGGCCCCCTTAACCTGGCAAAGCAATAAAGCTATGCTTTTTTACTTCACCCCAAACTCTGTCTCTGAGAATTAATTTGGTGTTGGGGTACAGAGGCCAATATGCTGGCACCCAAACCCTCTAGGACTTGCCTTTCAAAGACAAGCATGGATCTTCCAGAACATCTTCATGTACTTGTTGACATGATTCTCTCCAGAGCATTCTACATGTATGTGTACCTCACCCCCTCCCTTCTCTGCTTTCCTTTCCAGTCTCTGCTGCTTTCAAAAATCTCATCATTCATGAACGGGTTTGGACTTTATGTGATTTAGTGGCCTTTTAGCAGCTCTACTATACTTTCCTGCCTCCCCACTAGATGGCCATAAGCCCTCTGCTGTCAGGACCTACTTTTACCCCCAGCTATTTGCCTAACCCTTGTCACCTAGTATTCTGTGAACATTTGTTGAATAAATGGCTTGTGCTGGTCCAGCCATACACTTTTATCTGCTTCCTCCTTTCCCAGTAGCTACTAGAGTTAGAGATGCAGAATGTGACCCTGGCACCAACCCCATGACCCAGGGCTCATTAGCACACAAGTATAGTATTAAGTATTCATAGTGATCTAGATGCATTTCACCACACGTAAACCAGAAGTACTTTCAGCTCCTATTCTTAAACAGTATTGATTCTAAAATGCTGAAAAACTTGTCAAGACAACAGGGTATATGCATCAGAAAGTGAATTATCTTTGTTGAGAACTTGGATTAGTTATAGATTCTTAGATTATTGGACAGGCTTAAGGAGAAATGAAAGGAAAGGTTGGTAAAGAATGTGTTATCAATGATTAACTCAATATTGAAAAAACAAACAACCCAATCAAAAAATGGACAGAAGACCAAAATAGACATTTGTCCAAAGAAGTCATACAGATGGCCAAGAAGCACATGAAAAGATGTTCAATATCGCTAATTCTTAGAGAAATGCAAATCAAAACTGCAATGAGGTATCACCTCACACCAGTTAGAATAGCCACCATTAAAATGTCTACAAATAACAAATGCTGGAGAGGGTGTGGAGAAAAGGGAACCCTCCTGCACTGTTGGTGGAAATGTAAATTGGTGCAGCCACTATGGAAAACAGTATGGAGGTTCCTTAAAAAACTAAAAACAGAGTCACCGTATGGTCCAGCAATCCCACCCCTGGGCATACATCCAGAAAAGATGAAAACTCTAATTCAAAAAGATACGTGCATCGCAATGTTCATAGCTGCAATATTTACAATAGCCAAGACACAGAAACAACCCAAGTGCCCATCAACAGAGGATTGGCTTAAGAAGATGTGGTGTGTGTATATATACACACACATGCACACATAATGGAATATTACTCATTCACAAAAAAAAAAAAGAAAAGAAATAGTGCCACATGCAGCAATGTGAATGAGCCTAGAGAATATTAGTGAAGTAAGTCAGAGAAAGACAAATGTTATATGATATCGCATATGTGGAATCTAAAAAACAATACAAATGAATATATATATAAAACAGAAACAGACTCACAAACATAGAAAAAAAACTTACAGTTACCAAGTGGTAGATAGAGGGAGGGACACATTAGGAGTATGGGATTAACAGATACACACTACTATACATAAAATAGATAAGTAACAAGGATTTACTGTATAGCACGGGAAATTATATTCAATATCTTATAATAACCTATAATGGAACATAATCTGAAAAAAAATAACTGAAGCAATTTGCTGTCCACTTGAAACTAACACAATATTGTAAATCAACTATACTTCAATTTAAAAATTTCTAGGGCTTCCCTGGTGGTGCAGTGGTTAAGAATCCGCCTGTCAATGCAGGGGACACGGGTTCGAGCCCTGGTCTGGGAAGATCCCACATGCCGCAGAGCAACTAAGCCCACGCGCCACAACTACTAAGCCTGTGCTCTAGAGCCCACGAGGCACGACTCCTGAGCCTGTGTGCCAGAACTACTGAAGCCCGCGTGCCTAGAGCCCATGCTCCACAAGAGAAGCCACCGCAATGAGAAGCCAGCGCACCACAACGAACAGTAGCCCTCACTTGCCGCAACCAGAGAAAGCCCACGTACAGCAACAAAGACCCAACGCAGCCAAAAATAAATAAATAAATAAAATTTTAAAAATAAAAAATTCTAAACAAACAAAAAAAGAATGAAAAACAATAGTCATAGCAACATTATTAATGATGACTAACATTTACTCAGTGGCAGGCCCAGTGCTGGGTCCCTACCTACATTACCTCTAGTCCACACAATGATTCCAAAAGAAGGGACTCAGAAAGGTTAGCTGTCTTGGCCAAGACTACACAGCCCAGTGGCCAAGATCCAGGTATAACTCACGGAAGCTGTGAGAACATGTCAGAGAAAGAACACACGTCATGAGGCCTGTCTACGATTTTTTTTTTTTTTTTTTTTGAGACATCGCAGTGACATGATACAGGCACAAAATTGAAAAAAGGAAGAGCCTGACCATTATCCCTACATAACCTTTCCAAAACTGCATCTTAAAATACACTTATCCTTATGGATATTAACATGTGTTGAGGAAAAAGGAAGGAGGGAGTGGTCCATGGTCACATACGTTTGAAAACTCTTACAAAGGTTCAACAGGATTTTTTATGACAATGTGTATTCACAATCTTCAATTATGAAAAAGAGTACATAGAATTTCCAAAACTTATTTGGCAACTTTTTCACAGAAATCTACCAACATCTAAAGAAGGGTATTCTAGGAAACAGACTGGGGGCCATTATGTAGATTAATCCCCTTTTGAATCTAAGAGTCGATGATTTGATAAACTTGGAAACCAATGATCACATGAGATTTAAATCACACATTGCTAAATAATCACACCTTAAATCTATTTCTGGGAGCATCTACTAAACTTGCAAATACCTTCTACTGTATCTTACAGTATGATATCAACAAATAAAAGATTCTGGTGAGAGAATACAAGAATGCCTGTGAAGGAAAACAACCTATAACTTGCTGATGAATT